TAGAATAGAATAGAATAGAATAGAATAGAATAGAATAGAATAGAATAACAGTTGGAAGGGACCTTGGAGGTCTTCTAGCCCAACCCTCTGCCTAGGCAAGAAACCCTATACCATTTCAAACAAATCGTTGTCCAGTCTCTTCTTAAAAATTTCCAGTGTTGGAGCATTCACAATTTCTGGAGGCAAGTTGTTCCACTGATTAATTGTTCTAACTCTCAGGAAATTTCTCCTTAGTTCTAGGTTGCTTCTTTCCTTGATTAGTTACCACCCATTGCTTCTTGTCCTGCCCTCAGGCGCTTTGGAAAATAGCTTGACTCCTTTTTCTTTGGGGCAGCCCCTGAGATATTGGAACACATGTCACTTCTAGTCCTCCTTTTTATCAAACTAGACATACCTGCTGCATGTTGCAGTGGTTAGAATGAAAGTATTGCAGGGTACTTCTGACTGCCGGCTGCCTGTAATTTGGCAGTTCGAATCTCACCAGGCTCAAAGTTGACTCAGCCTTCCATCCTTCTGAGGTCAGTAAAATGAGGACCAAATAGTTGGAGGCAATAGGCTGACTCTGTAAACCGCTTAGAGAGGGCTGTAAAGAACTGTGAAGCGGTATATAAGTCTAAGTGCTATTGCTACCCAATTCCAGCAACCATTCCTTATCTAAAACATATAAAGCCATGTGCTTGCAACCTGCATCTTGACTTATGTGACTTGCCCCCACTGACAACCCAACATCTAAGCCTTCCAGATCAATTTGCTAATGATTTCTTGTTACCGCTCCTAGGACGTCTCTCTAATCCAGATATCTTCAAACTTGACAGCTTTAAGACTTGGGGATTTCAACTCCCAGAATTCCTCCTCCAGTCATGTTAGCTCAGGAATTCTGGGAGTTGAAGTCCACAAGTCTTAAACTTGCCAAGTTTGAAGACCCTTGCTCTAATCAAAAGAAATATTAGGGAAATTTTGAAGCAAAGCAGTTGGCAGGGTGCAAAAATCCAAACCCCCATGAGAAGGTTTTTATACTAGGCCCCACTGTAAAAATCTGTGTTCCTCTCAGTTGATTTATTAGGTGAATTCGACACAGCAAATTAGCCTGGGAGCCATTTGGAGACCACTCAGTCAACTGTAAAGAAAAAACCCACTAAACCCTGAGATATAAATCAGTCCCATGACAGATTCCACACAGGGGTTGGCTTCCTGATGAGAAGATGATTCTTAGCGTCAAAAGAAGGTGGGAGTCTTTTGAAAAAGAGACCAGGTTGTGGCTTCTGGAGATGTGCTTGTTCCTCCAGTTTCACATTAAATGTCACATTATTAAATGTCGCAGTATGTGAATGTAAGGAGTGAAAAGCAGTTGAGGACACTGCCTTGCATGGCCTCCTGGCTTCAGCAGAAATGGAGAATGAATGGAGAATTTTCTGCCTGTAGAATAGATACAGGCTGGAAATACCAAGAGCATAAGGCTTTCTCCATAGCTGAATGTTCCCCTTTATGCCTTTGTAGACACCATTCTCAGATTTGTGACGATGGAGATCAGGTGTGGCTCACAGAAGGTCAAAAAAGTCAAGCAAAGAGGGGGCCCACACCTGCAGAGTCAAAACCATACTACACCAGTGGTGGGATTCAAATTGTTTACCATTGGTTCGGTAGGCGTGAGTTGGTGGGCATGCTTTGTCTTAACGCTGGCGTGCAGCTTTCCCCACACCAACTGAGACCTGCAGCAACAATCAGCTGAGAGGACAATATTTC